AGCAGGCGACTTGAAAGCAAACACACACACACATTTTTATTTGTAACCGAACACACAGCTTGACATGGAGACATGTAAATTAAGTTATTAAACTCAGTCATGCTTTTAATCTGTCTTATAATGAATTTATTCAGCAGACCAAAAATGGTTTCTGTGGAGCTGTCACTGACTCTGAGTCTTGCTGAATACAAGGTAACAAAAGCTAATTGCAGTGAAGTGCAAAAATAAGTAAAAAAACCCGAAACAACCTTTATTCATTTGTTGTTGAAGCGAATGTGGGTTAATGCATAAAAGATAGTCATGGTGGCATCTGGGTACAGCTTCCAATCTGTAGTTACCAAGAGACCTGCCCTGCTGAGCTTATTTTGACACTCATTGGGTTAGAGGAAGTAAAAGGTCAGTGTGGGGTTAATACTTGGCTTATTTGGAGCAGCTGTGTTATGGTAGGGTTTAAAAGGCTATGTTCCCAGGGGAAGCACAAGAATCCATAACCAGAAAATGGAAGCAGGTGAATTGCTTTCTGTCACAAAAATCTGTTAGCTTATCAAAGCATATCTGATGTTCCAGATCTAACATTTTAGGCAGCTCTTAATAATTACCCCCAAAAGGATAAAGGTTAAAGTTGCTTGATCAAGTAAAAGGTATTATGCACATTTCTGCAGTATGTGTTAGGGCAGGGGTAGGCAACCTTTTTGAGCTGGGGGCTGGGTTGCTGTCCCTCAGACAATTGGGGGGGCCGAAGCACCAAAAATAAATAAGTAAATAAATATAAAAATAAAAAATATGCATGCATATCTCAACCCCAGAAAAGCCATCGCAAAACCCCTGTAGAGATTTTGCCAAGAAAACCCCAAGAACAAGTAATAACAACAATAATCCATATCATCATGGTGGGGGGCGGCAGCGGCGGCAGGGCCTTAGGTTGCCTACCCCTGCGTTAAGGCCTTGCAATGTGGAAAAGGTCTCTGGGACCTCTTTCTGTCTGTGGGCAGAATCAGAGACAAAATGAGCAGGTTTGAAATGTGATTTATGCCAATTTTAAACCCTACTTATTTGCTTGCCACTCTTAAGATCCTAATAATAAAAGGTTGGGATAAAAAAGGTGGCAATAGAAGCAGGACAGGTTTCAGCAATAAACAGGGTCGAATGGTGAAACAGCTACCTTTCCAGGTCCCACTCAGCCATTTCAGGTAAATGTCTAATCTCTGAACAATCTGTGGGTCAGATTCAGCCTGGCATGGTTTCTCAGACAGCTTACCAAGCCCTACATGTTTTCCCTTCAGGAAAAGGTCTTATCTAACCAGTAGCTGATTGGAAATGAGAGCTTTCATTGGAAAAGAAAAGTCCCTCATCTTTGGTTAACTGCTGATTGAAAATAAACGCTTTTTCTGCTAGGTAGGTAAAACCCAGAGATGGAGTTGACATAGATGGGGAATTTCCGTGGGCTGAATTTGGCCTTTGTTTCAGAGGTTTCCCCATGCACAGTTTAAAACAGGGACCGGCAACATATGGCCCGGGGGCCGGTTAAGGCCCCAGGCCCCGGACTTACTGGCCCAGGCCGTAGGTTGCCATCGTCACTGCCGCTGCGCACCGCCACTACCACTGTGCGCCGCCGTCGGGGCGCGTTTTCACCCGCGTTTGCTGCGGCTGCCATTTTGGAAGTCAGAATGGCGGCCGCAACGCGTTTGCGCATGCGCAGTACTCTTGCGCATGTGCAAATGCGTCGCAGCTGCCATTTTGACTTCCAAAATGGCAGCCGCGACATGCGCCGTGGCAGCTGCGGCCGCACGTGCTACGATGGCGGCCGCAGTAGCGGCCACGGTGACAGCACGCATGGGGTGTGTGCGGTGGAGGAGGGCGCGCGCGCGCGCGCGTGCCGCCATCCCCCCCTCAGCCAGCCGAGACTTGGGCGATGGGAGACCGGCCCAGGTCTCCAAAAGGTTGCCTGTCCCTGGTTTAAAACATGGCCCTAAATATAGTTGCAGTGAGATTTACTGCTCAAAAACTAGGAACCTTCTGCCCACAAGCCATGCCTCAAATGGCACATGAGAAGTGTTTCCCCTTTCAAGATGCTTCCCAGTCTATTCTAAATGTGGGCTCATATAGTTGTTGGGATAAAAAAGAAAGGTCATCTTTTGCTCAAAGCATAGATAGTGGTGTTATATACTTTGTATAAAAGAGTTGTGATTTGTAGCTATGGTATATCTGAACAGCCTTTACAGATGTCTTTGGCTTTTTGAAACAGAAGACGAAGAAGGTGATATAAGATGAAGACAAATGATTAGCAGTTCCTAGAAGAGATGGTTGCTGCTTGTCAAGCAGTATTCTAAATTTTATGTTTTAAATTTCAGTGATAGGAGACTTCCTTCAATTGGCTGTGATTTTCTGTCCTGTTTCAAATACCGTAGTAAAATTAGGTGTGTGTCCAAGTTTGGGTATCATTGCTCTATTTTTGTAGGGGTGGATAGTAATTCATAGGGTTTGAGACTTCTAATAAGTATCTGTGCTTCAGATCTTTCCCTCCTTCTCCCACTCTGAACTATCTCACAATACTCAAATTTTCCCATGGTTAAAATAACAAGAAGCACTCTGAACTATCTCACAATACTCAAATTTTCCCATGGTTAAAATAACAAGAAGCAAATGTGGAAATTCCTTATACAATATTTACTTAATTGAATACATGATTCCTGAATGGCAGGGAGTTGGACTAATGGCCCTTTTGTGGTCTCTTTGGGCTCTATGATTCTATGATGTAGCTTATCTAAATACTCGAAGGTATCAGATCTCTTCTGATTCCAAAAGCTAAGCAGGGTTGGGCCTGTTTAGTACTTGTAAATAACACTAGAACTGAATACCAGGTGCTGCAGGCTATATTCAGATGGTGACCAAG